CCTTTCTCCCTTTCTCCCTTTCTCTCTTTCTTTTCATCTTTCTTTCTTCAAATGTTTATTGACCTGGGACTCTACTTCAGTGTGGGGGCACAGTGGTAAACAAGACCAGAGAATTCTTGTTTCAATGGAGCTAACATTTTAGTGTAAAGAGGCAGCTAACAAAAGTTAGTATGCTAAATAAATTATTTTAATTATAACTGCCTATAGAAAATAAAAGAGGTAAATGGACTGGAGAGTGAATGTAGAGAGATAAAGTATCTTATTTTCAAAAATAAAAAAGTAACAAAAATTATCTAACATAAAAAAGTAAATGGACTAGAGATACACATAAACAAAGCATAGTTAAGAAATTAGAAGTATTAGACACATAGTATGAGGAAATAGATTGTCAGTCCATTTTAAATCTAGTTTGCTATGTGAAAAATGCAGTTTTAAATATTTCAGATTTGAAGCACATGACTAAGAAAAATAAATTGCACATGTAAAGGCAGATTAAGATGAAAATCAGTAAAGCTATAGAGCTGAGAGATGCTGCCATATTGCACTAACTATATATTGATTGTATAATCATCCTTGTGGAGATTGTACTTTTATGAGGGGAGAGTAAAAATGAATTGAGGAAAAATTCTACATGATAAAATTTCCATCCTCAAAATATTTTTTACTTGCATCTAGCTATTTCCTATCCTAGAATTCTCTCCCCTACCCCACCACCACCTGACTCACCTATGTCTTTTCCTAATTTACTCCCAAACTCATCATGGCTTAAAGAAAACTGCCAGGAAAATTTTTCCTGATTATCCAAACTACTAATAGGTCAGGGCTTCCATTCTCCTCTCATAGTGTTTCTTGCTTCTGTTTGTATCTTTATTTGCATGACTCTATCTAATCCCTGCTTAACACTGAGCAGTTGCAGTATACCCAAGTGACCTTGAGCTAGCTATATTTCTCTTTAAACTAATTTCAACAATTAAAAAACATAAAAATTTTTAAAACTTTCCAAATGAAAACATTCTCATGCAGTAAGGTGTTCTAGAATTATTCAAATTCCTCTCAAAAAGTGTCTCTAATCAACTCAGTTTCTCCTTCCTAGCAACTGCTAAATCTGTCTCTTGCTCTCAGTTGGTCTTAAAATATCCCACTGGGATTTCCCCATCCCCCCTACTCTTTGTGTTAAAACAATAAGGACATTAATTAACAAGAAGTCCAAATGTAGACTGTCTTCCAAGTTGGTGCTGTCTTTCTGTTCCACCATCCTCACCTTACTGGCATTTCCCTTGGGCTTTGATGCCTATAGTTATAAGAAACTGGCTACACAGACAAGCAAGACAATGCTTTTCTCCTCTCAGATGTCCCATTTAACAGCAATGAAACCTTTCCTAGGAGTCTTCTCACATATGACCCCTCATGTTGCCCAGAATCACACTACATGCTGGTGACCTAACCAGTCACTTGCAAAAGCAATGAGATTACCATAACTAGGTGAGGTCGGTGGTTCACAAAGTGTGATCCCTTGTCAGTGGCAGCATGATCTGGACCTTGTTAAAAATGCAGATTCTCAGGTCTGACTCAATCTGGTGGTGGGACTGTGCAGTCTGGTTTTTTGTTTTAACACATCTTCCAAATGATTCCTATGCAAGATAAAGTTTGAGAAATGACAGTTTAGAATAATCAGGATTTATACTTGAGCTGAGGATGAATTCACCTTATTCAAAGTTATATGGATACTTCAAAAAATCAGGATTTATTCACAAAGAAGTATGCAATGGCTTTGCAATATTGTGGATGTTGTTCAGATTATCAGAAGCTGCACAGAACATTCCACACTCACAAACTCTTCCCTCTGTGACCAAGGTCTCTATATAAACAGTGCCAACTTTGTCACTAATATAACATTGCCTAAAGTATAAGCCTTCTAAGGGCAGGAATCTGGCTTCTCTATCTGAGCCCCTAAGTGGCCCTGTAACTAGCAGTAGGTAGTCTAACCTTTCTAAATTAATGGCAGTTTTTCTCTACAAATGCTTAAATGTCCCATTTTGGTGCTAAGGGATATGGGGAGTGATTCCAGAAACAGGAGAGTTTGAAAATGCATACTGACTTGTCCACTGTTTGGAGCTGTGGCAAATATCTAAATCTTTTGATGACTGAGTGTTTCTCCTTTAAAAAAGGGATTTTTCTTTGAAACTAAACCTCCTTAACACAACTGATCTTCAACATATTCTTTCTCCTTTTTTGCCAGTAGAAGTAAATACGCCTCAAAATAATTCAGTTTGGAACCTGAAAATACAAGTCTGTAGTTCAAATGCAGGTTACATAGATAGTGGAAGACAGTACCCTTGATTAAATCCTGGCTCCATGACTTCCTACAGTGTGACTTAGAGAAAGTTACTTATTTTTCCTAGTGTATTTTTTTAATTGAGGGAAAACACACATAACATAACCTTTACCGTCTTATGCCATCTTAGCCATGTTTAAGTATACAATTTAACTGTATTAAATACAATTAAAATGTTGTACAATCACATTACCAACATCCATTTCTATAATTCTTTTCATCTTGTAAAACTGAAACTGTATACCTATTAATAAAAACTTCCAAATTCCTCCTTCCCCCTGCCACTGGTAACGACCATTCTACTGTCTGTCATTATGACTACTATAAGTACCTCATATAAGTGGAATCATAGTCTTTTATGACTGGCTCATTTCACTTAGCATAGTGTCTTCAAGGTTCATTCATGCAGCATATGTCAAAATTTCCTTCTTTCATTAAGGCTTAACAATGTTTCAATTCATGTGTATACGATTTTGCTCATTCATTCATCTACTGATGAACTCTTGGCTGGCTCCCATGTTTTAGCAATTGCAAATAATGCTGCTATGAACATTGGTATAAATATAATTTTGAGATCTTGATTTCAATTCTTTTGGGTATATACCCATAATTGGAATTGCTGGATCATATGATAATCCTATTTTTAATTTTTTGAGGAACTATCATACTGTTTTCTACAGCAGATGCATGATTTTGCATTTCCACTAGCAGTGCACAAGTGTTCTAATTTCTTTATATCCTCATCAACACTTGTTACTTTCTGTTTTATCAATCATAGCCATCCTAATGTGTATGAGATGGTATCTCGTTATAGTTCTGATTTACATTTCCCTAATGATTAGTTGTGTGAGCATCTTTTCACGTACTCATTGGCGTTTGTATATCTTCTCAGAAAAAAAAAATGTTTATTTAAGTCTTTTGTTCATCCTTTAAACAGATTCTTGGTTAGATTGCTATTCTTTTTCATAATCACTATTCCTCTTCTGCTTTTCTCTATGTGTTTACCTCCCTCCTGTCTTCACAAATAGAAAAATTTAGCCTTTTGAAATACTCAGTTCCAAATATTACCCTAACCTGACAGCAAACTGATATGATTTGACTCTGTGTTCCCACCCAAATCTCATCTTGTAGCTCCCATAATTCCCATGTGTTATGAGAAGGCCCCAGTGGGACATGATTGAATACGGGGTGGGTCTTTTCCATGCTGTTCTCATGAGAGTAAATGGGTCTCATGATATCTGGTTGTTTTAAAAACAGAGTTTCCCTGCACAGGCTCTTTGCCTGCTGCCATCCACATAAGATGTGACTTGGTCCTCCTTGCTTCAGTCATGATTGGGAGGCCTCCCCAGCCACATGGAACTGTAAGCTCAATTAAACCTCTTTCTTTTGTAAATTGCCCAGTCTTGGATATGTCTTTGTCAGTAGCATTAGTATTGACTAATACAGTGAATTGGTACCAGGGGTGGGGTGCTAACTGAAAAGATAGGCAAAAGTGTGGAAGCAACTTTGAAACTGGGTAACAGTCAGATGTTGGAACAGTTTGGAGGGTTCAGAAGAATACAGAAAATGTGGGGAAGTTTGAAACTTCCTAGAGACTTGTTGAATGGCTTTGACTAAAATGTTGATAATGATATGGACTATGAAGTCCAGGCTGAGGTGATCTCAAATGGAGATTAGAAACTTGTTAGAACTAGAGCACAGGTGACACTTGTTATGTTTTAGCAAAGAGACTGGTGACATTTTGCCTCTGCCCTAGAGATCTGTGAAACTTTGAACTGGAGAGAGATAATTTAGGGTATCTGGTGGAAGAAATTTGTAAGCAGCAAAGCATTCAAGAGATACCTCGGATGCTGTTAAAGGTATTCAGTTTCAAATGGGAAAGAGAGCATAAAAGTTTGGAAAATTTGTAGCCTGACAATACAATATAAATGAAAATCCCATTTTCTGAGGAGAAATTCAAGCCTGCTGCAGAAATTTGCATAAATAATGAGGAGCCAAATGTTAATCCCCAAGATAATGGGAAAAAAGTCTCCAGGGCATATCAGAGGCCTTCATGGCAGCCCCTCCCATCACAGGCCTGAAGGCTTAGGAGGAAATAGGAGTTTTATGAACTGGACCCAGGGTCCCCATGGAGTGTGCAGCCTAGGGACTTGGTGCCCTGCATCCCAGCTGCTACAGCTGTGGCTGAAAGGGGCCAACATACAGCTCAGGCCATAGCTTCAGAGGGTGCAAGACCCAAGCCTTGGCAGCTTCCATGTGGTGTTGAGCCTGTGAGTGCACAGAAGTCAAGAATTTAGGTTTGGGAACCTCTGCCTTTCAGAATATGTATGGAAATGACTGGATGCCCAGCTAGCAGTTTGCTGCAGGGGCAGGGCCCTCATGAGAACCTCTGCTAAGGCAGTGTGGAAGGGAAATGTGGGGTCAGTGGCCACACACAGAGTCCCTACTAGGGCACTACCTAGTGGAGCTGTGAAAAGAGGGCCACAGTCCTCCAGACCCCAGAAGAGCAGATCCACATACAGCTTGCACCGTGCACCTGGAAAAGCCAGGCACCCAATGCCAGCCCATGAAGGCAGTCAGGAGGGAGGCTGTACCCTGCAAAGCCACAGGGGCAGAGCTGCCCAAGACCATGGGAACCCACCTCTTTCATCGGCGTGACTGGGATGTGAGACATGAATCAAAAGAGATCATATTAGAACCTTAAGATTTGACTGCTTTACTGGATTTCAGACTTTAATGGGGCCTGTAGCCCCTTTGTTTTGGCCAATTTCTCCCATTTTTAATGGCTATATTTACCCAATGCCTATACCCCCATTGTATCTAGGAAGTAACTAACTTGATTTTGATTTTACAGGCTCATAGGTGGAAGGGACTTGCCTTGTCTCAGATGAGACTCTGGACTGTGGAATTTTGAGTTAATACTGAAATGAGCTAAGACTTTGGGGGACTGTTGGGAAGACATGATTGGTTTTGAGATATGAAGACATGAGATTTGGGAGGGGCAATGGGAGGAATAATATGGTTTGGCTCTGTGTCCCCACCCAAATCTCATCTTGTAGCTCCCATGATTCCCACCTGTTGTGGGAGGGACCTGGAGGAGATGATTTAATCATGGGGGTGGGTCTTTCCTATGCTGTTCTCGTGATAGTGAATGGGTCTCATGAGAGCTGATGGTTTTAAAAATGGGAGTTTCTCTGCTCAAGCACTCTTTGCTTGTTGCCATCCACATAATCTGTGACTTGCTCCTCCTTGCCTTCTGCCACAATTGTGAGGCCTCCCTAACCATGAGGAATTGTTAAGTCCAATTAAACCTCTCTTTCTCTCTCTCTTTTTTTTTTTTTTGTAAATTGCCTGGTCTTGAGTTTGTCTTTATTAGTAGAATGAAAATGGACTAATACACAAATGTACAGCTGTCAGGTTAGGGCAATATTCCCCATCATTTTGTCCCCATTACCCAGCATGTTGGCAGGTTCATCAGAGCTATAAATGTCAAATTACCATTCATGAATAAGGAAAAAAGGAAATCAATTGAAATTCAAGAGATCAACTTTATAGGAAGAACCTCAGCATTTGCTTTTGCTGCTTTTTTTTTTTTTTTCTTTTTGCACCAGAATATTTAAGAACAAAAAATTAATGAGCACTGTAGCAGGAGGGAATGGCAGTTGTAAAGTCTCTACTAGAGATTCAAACTTTCTTTTGGCAGAGTTTGGCAGTGGTACAGAGCCAAGGCCACTTTGAACAATAGTTATTATTAATCCTGAATCCAAGGACTTTCAATTTTCTAAAAATATTTGAGACTTGACCAATTGATCAGTAGTATTGATCCCAAAATAACTGAAGAGAAAAGCTGTTCCAGTAATCAGTGTATTGCCTCTCAGCACCACATTCACACTTCAATACTTTCTCCGTAATGATGTACGGAATTCTGTCAAGTATTTCCCTTTTACAGTGAGCATGCATGGTGTTAACCTTTGAACACAGCAGGGAAAGGGGACTTCTCTTTTGGGTGCTGATTGCAGCATTGCTGGTCAGCAATGCGGGTGTGAGGACATTGGGTTGTATTTTGTTCCAGTAACACACCTGGAAGACAAGGCCTCTCAGCCTCAAACTTGCAGCCGCAGGAGGCCGGTTGATCACCTTCCTGTGGTCTTCCCTTTGTGTAGGACCCTGTCCTCTGGGAGGTTTGTTTTCTGCCTTCCCAGTGACAGTGCAGCAGCTCTAACCCTGGCAGCTATACAGTGGGCAACCGCTCCTTCCCAGTGAGGACGCCTGAATTCCAACTTTGAAAAAGGTCTCCCGTTTCTGGTTTGGTCTTTCTTGGG